GAGCGATTCTTTGGCAAAACTTCATTTCTTTTACAAAGGGGCGAGAACCTCTATGAAATGTGCATCTCAAACATCAGGGCACGGTGGCCACACAGCATATTGCCCCGTGTGGATTGGCTTTCCATAAGAGAGCGCAGCCTGCCCAAATCCGACACCGATGACCTTCCTGGAAGAGGGCTTTCTTCCTGCTGTATTCTCCTAAGCAAATTAGGTCAACCATTCTGATACCTCATGGCTGGCAATGACAAGAAGATGTATAGTGAAGCAGATCTTACTTCCGGCTCCGATCAATTTGTGGCTTAAGAGCGAATCTGGAGTCAGAGCGTGAAAAACATGCCTCTTTTCTTTTCTCACTTTGAACTCGAAGACCGCGACTAGGATGGGCGTGATTAGGTTATAAGCTACCACACTTTACGCCCGTCCATAGCTCATGAGCTAATTAAAAATGGCCAAAGGAGCTTATAGAGGGAGATCCAAAAAATAAAACGAGATTTTGAGACAACCTAATAGAAGGTAATGGAGTACGTGACTGTCACATACAGTGAAGTTGAGGTTTTCCAGGGCACACGAACAAACGCCAATCGAAATGTACTCGCTGCATATTCAAATTATTTCAAAGCAATGTTCACCAATGACATGATCGAAAGTCGTTCGAGTATGTTTCAACTTATAATTTTACAACTGTGATTTCAAAGTTTTTTTAGTAATGTCATTGCGGATTCTAGTATAGCTTTTCTGCAGGAGAGGTGAAAATTGTGGATATCGAAGCCTCGACACTTGAAGCACTTGTCGATTTCTGCTACACTGGGAAGATAACAATCAATGACGAGAACGTGTTCAGCATTTTGTCAGCTGCTGGTCTTCTCCAATTAGGCGATGTTCAGGTTAGGCTGCTCACACCTGGAAGGCTCCACCTCATTGGTATATCCGCTGTTCTGTATCACTGTAAACCGAAGTCTGAGAATACTTGAAGCAGAGGCCGTATGTATTGGGTTGGTGCATAATATCGTAGCGCTTGCATTTTTCATTTTTGCACGCAAACGTTTTGTGAAGAAATTAAAAACATAAAACTAATCAGGGATGTCCACTTTGCCATTATTTACGACTTTTATCCTATTTTGCAGAAAGTCACTGGATTTGGAATTGAAAAAAAGATGTTGGGCTCGCTCTCGAAGTCCTCATTATTTCGCAATTTGTACGACATGAATACGGTCTTAATTTGAGTGAAATATGTAGGGTTGGTTAGAGAGAGGTTCGATAAGAACAATGGATTCTGAAGAACTTTTGTTTTGACGGTATTTTTTTCTTTATGAACTGAAAAATAACAGCTGTCGAAATGCCGATTTCTGCCGTCTGGATTTTCCAACTTCTAAGCATTATGTATGAGTACAAATATAATTTTGAGGGAAATGACGAAGTAATTTTTGTAGAGCGAAAAAAGCACTTTCAAAAGGTATAGGCGATTTTTAGGGTTTCTCTTGTACTGATTGAATTTACACGCCCAAGAAGAAACGCTACGATATTATGCACCAACCCAATATTTAGCTCGGGAGCGGGTTCGTATTTCTTAGGTGGGACGATAGATAGGAAGAGTAGGACTTGAACAAGTCTTTGCATAGCAATTTATAGTGTTACGTAGAATAGAATAAGGGGAAATGGGAGTAGAGACATCTCAAAATGGAGGTAACAGGCAGCGTTCGCGATGAATTGCTGCCATTGGAATGTAGAAGTAGAAATGGAAGCAGTACGTCAGGAATCAAAAAAAGACGGCCATGAACCCAAGTTACAGAAGTCCCCTTCCCCTTCAATTTAGGGGAGGGGGGAGCGGGGCGACTGAACGAGCTATCCAGTACTATGGAGGTTGTTTGACAGACGCGGATACTCACCACTATACTAGCGAGCAAAAGGAATTGCTGAGGGCGGAAGTGGTGTAGTGGCAAGTGGCACGCTTACCACGCGAGCGGTCCGGGGATCAAATCCTGGGTCGTGAGTCGCCCGGGCCAACCAAGCCTTCCATCCCTCCGGGGTCGGTTAATTGGTACCAGACTTGTCTGGGAGGATAAAAACACTGACTTGTACATCGGCTGGCCCCGCAAGTCATTGTATAGGCCACATCGCATTCAAACGCCACTACGAATGTACAAATGGAAGTAGAATGCGTGCCGCATCCCAAAAGGGATTGATCAACGGCAAATGCTTTATCCTTTATGGAGGTTGTCTGGGTGAAATCAAACACTGGCATAATGCTAAGGACAATCTATAGGCAATGTTGCTTCCTTGCCCCACATAACGGTGGACTATCGATTGGAGAAGAAAATCAGAATATGGCGGTGATGGTTCCAAATACAGGGTGTCCCATATACAGGGGTGGCCAAAAAAAGAGACACTTCACTCAACATTCAAAACGGAATTATTTACGCGTCGCGAAACCAAACCAAATGACCCCAACTGAATATTGAAGAGCACGTTATAATCTATCAAAAGTACACAACAGCCTTCTACACCGACGACATCAGAAGATTTTCCCACGGAAACATGTGCGCGGTACGAGCTCAACGAGGTCGTCGAGGTACCATAGACCATTACGACGTCTCTGAAACGCTGGTCAAAAGCGGTTCTTGCACATTTAATGTCTCTGGGAAGTTA